AAACAAGAAATATGTCTAGCTCTGGGAAAGGACCCAGAAAAATTATAGCCACAATCAGATACTTAAAATGCAAATTTTAATCAGAGATAATCTGTGAGATGGTGTTCATGCAGAACACAGCCTGTCAGAACCTCCAACATCCATGCATGTGGGAAGACAGTGCAATGTAAACAGCACCCAAGAGCTGCATAGAGAAACTGTTACCACTGAATGCTGTCTGATCACTGACTCACTTCTTACATAGCTCTAGAATTTGGATTTTTATGACATTTTGGTACACTTCCTATCTGGAGATTTGACAGACCATCTACTCAAACTGCAGAGTTCTCCCCCTCTTTTTGTTACGCCACAACAGAATCCCCTACGTAAATCACTAGCAGCTTAAATTGTTTTAAAAATTGAATATTAAGCCTTTGGGAATGTATGATTTCCTTACTAATTCTCTCAGTAGTGCACATCCTGCTAAAGACATCTCAACCTTTTCACCTCAGGAAGTACATATTTAAGGCATGTTTAGTGGGCGAAGATCTGTTTTCTCAGAGAACTAATGTCCTGGCTAGAAGCTTATATAAATCAATACCCCATGGATTAAAGCACTTCACTGCTCTCTGGGAGGAGTCCATAAGAATTTCTTTCAAGCTGAAGAAAAATAAAACTCTAAGCCTTTTTCTGCCTTTGAGAATTAAAGAAAACATTATCAACTTTCAACACGGAAAAAAAAAAGTTCTCTCTGAAGGCCAAGATTTGCTGAAACCATCAAGATTTGTTACATTTCTCAAGTGAACTTTGTATCTGTGTTTCACCAAGCAGACCACTAAAGTCATTAAGCCTCTAGCCTCCAGCTTTCCAGGATAGGAACCTTGCAGATGCTGAGACCTGTTGGACACACAGAGCCACACAGAACCCAGAGTCACAAAAGTCTCTTTTCTAGGAGCCCATGACAGCAACTGACTAAAACAAGGCTCAGCAGCAGCATCCTCAAAACATTTTTCTACTCACAGGAATCATTCAAGAAAATTCTTACTTTTCCTTATACAGTATTAATGTTTCCTTATAGTATTAATGTTCATGACAAGTCCAAATATCTGCTCCTTTCACCTACAAGAGAACTAGTACTGTTGTCCAAGTCACTGCATTTTCAGACTGCTTTCTTTTCCAGTGCGTAATATCTTCCAGGTCATCAACATCCCATCTTCTTCACAGGATTTCCTTTTAAAAGGCCCTTTGGTTTGAGACATTGGCTTGGGAAAAGCATGTCCCTCTCTTTTTTTTTTTTTTTCACTACTAAAACTACTAAAAACCCAGACACTACCTCTTTACCAACAGAAAGATGATGACCAGGTTCCCTCTCCTTCCTGATACCAATTCCATTGAGATTAAACATTTAAACATGATGAAAGCCACTTCATACTTAGAAAAAAAACCCTCACTAATTCACCAAAACATGAAGACAATCCATAGGGAGGGATATAATATCAATCAATAAATAATTCACCAGTAATTATTTCAGTACAGATGCTAGAGAAGTGCAGTGCCAACAATAATACTGTGTGCATATGTAAAATACCTTGCAATTTCCTTCTTTTCTACTTGTCCCTGCACAACAGTAAATTACCAGCACTCAATAGATCTGTGTGGTTGGAAGATGCAAGTGTCATCAGTAAAGAAGATGCAATTGAAAATCCTCCACTGTTTCCTCTCATCAGCTCCACTGCCTGCTGATCCTCTCCACAGTCACTTCTAGGCTGCATTAGATTTTGCTCCCTATCATAAGAACTCTTTAGACAGCTGCTTGTAGAAAAAGATGGCTTGTCCCGATCTAAGTGTTTCCCAGGCCACTTAAAACTTAGAAGACTGGAACAAAATAAAGATTTGACAGGAATAGTTTGTGTGTAAAAAGATCAATTCTTAAAAACAGCTACCTATACTCAAACATAAAATGGAGTTGCTTGTCTCAAATCTAAGATGAATGGACTGCTGATGAAAACGGTAATCCTTTCAGCTCAATTTCAATTCTTTCAGAACAGCCCTAGGCCTGTCCTCAGGATGCAGGTGCCAAGTGGACTTGTACAAACAAAACACAAAAAACAAAGAGCAGGCACTTGCAAAATGAGGACATGAAAGCACAATATAGTCCAGGCAGAAAATCTATCCATCAGCTCTAATGAAAGGTTATGCCTGCAAGAAGCAGGACAATGGGAAACCAAATGGGACATCAATAACAAAAGAGGTATCCGATATCTATTCAACATTTCACTGCAGAAGAATCTTGGGAGAGGAAAAAAAAAAAGAAGGAAAAAAAAAAAAAGGAAGAATGAAGAAAAGCACTAAAAGTGAGAACATGAAATCCCATCCACCATAAGGACCCAAGACATCGGCAAATCCCTCTCTACTGAGGTGCCAGGTTAGTCCTGTCCAGAAGCAAATGCAATTTGTTCTCTACATTACAACAGGGTGACCTTACACAACTGTTTTCGGCAGGTGCTAGGAGCCAGCATCCCCATTCAGATACAAGCCATGTTTGGAATCCAGCTTCCATCAGAGATTTATTAGATGTACTTTCATACACTAAACCAATTTGAAGGATACATTAAAAACAGAGGGCTCTTCCCTACTGTGATTGTATGCCTTAATCAAAACAAAACCACAGTCTGGAGGAGGAGTTTCATTTATTAACCTCACTGCAATCATAATTGGATAGTCTAACTGCTCAGATTATTCCAGTGATTCAACTGCAGTGCAATACAAATAAAGATATCTGTACAAAGTGGCCTGCAAAGAACTGAAAATTAAGACCTAATTAACTATACATTTGTGCATCATTGCCCTCTAATAGAGTATGGAAAACTGAAGGCAACATGCTATTATACATCATGTGCTATTATTCACTTAAGTGTCTAAATTACAGAGTTTGGGAGACAGTAGTTACGAGCTTATTAAAAAGCCATTTAGTTCACCATATAATACGCAGACTCTTTTAGAGACTGAAATAGGAAGCATAAAAGCAGCATGTGAATAGCAAGTCTCAATGAGAAATTATTCCTGCTGCCATAATGACAGATTTCCCCTCCAGAATTCTGTTTCCCCTATCACGCTGAGCCACAGCAAGCACTACAGAAGCATTTCTGGAGTCTGATTCACACACTTCACATTTTTCTTCTTTAAAAACTTGAAGAAAAAGCCTACTGAGTGCAAACTGTGAGAGGTGTTCACAACTCCTCAGACAGCTGTACAAAACTGCTGATATAAACTAAATAAGGATGAAGTTAAAAGACCTAAAAATTCAGACTAAACTTGGTTTTTCAGACCAGAAATTCTTGGGGCGTGAGAGTGAAACAAACCTCTACGTGGGTGAGAGCAGTGACACAGGTTGGGTTATTATAGAAGTAGAGAACATCCTTGGATGTGCAAATAGTTAGATGTGGGGATAAAAACAAATTTAATGCGTGCAGCGTACGCTACGGATGGCTTTGGCACAGCTTGCTCAGACACAAACAAGATGCTGGGCAGCCATCAATCACATGGCCCTTAATGAATTCCTGCTGATGCTTCACACTCAGCTATTGCCTTTTGTATTTCTTTCTTATCCTTTTCACCTTGTGCCTAATTGATTACAAGCTCCACTAACACTGGAATTTGTTCAGCTTGACAGCACGCGGGGTGAGAAAGGAGCACAGGAGATGGGTTGTGGCTGAGCAGTCAGTCCCAAGCTAGGCAACAGCACCCTGCCAATCCCACCATTAGCACACAGCGAGGCCAGGGATCCATGCAGGAGTCTGATGGACACCCCAGACCCACGCACACTTCCACGGCCCCGCATGGACCAGACACTTCTAAATAAAACCTTTCCTGCCCTGCAAACGCCCACTCCCAAAACACAAATTCAAGGTTTTACCCACTCAGCATTTCAGAAGCCATTTAATGTCAGAAATAGTTTTCTGAACACTCCCTTCCTTTTCCCTCAGAGGACTTCACAGAGCATTGGGAAGAGTGAAGAAAACTTCCTTTCAGAGTTTAAAGTATTTAAATAGGAATATATAATCAAAACAGGCTAAAATATTTAAAAGAATTCCTAAACTGTGGTTTGTTTCATGTGAAGGGATTTATGTGCCTTTATCACAGAGACCACAGCTGCTGAGCTAAAACAATATCTTATGTTCCATTTTTCTTCTCTTCATTATTCCTTCAGCAGCAATTCACATTAACCATAGCATAACTTTTATCTTAACAGCCGATAAGAGCTTTTGAAGGACTCATTTATACAACTTCTGTTTGAGTCAAGAAGGCCATTAGCATCTCCATATTCAACAGAGATAAACTGCAGCCATCCCAACACTGCACAGTACAAAAGTAATGCAAGCAACCCCTCTCCCACACTATTTTAATTATTCAATATACATGTCCTCAGTTAGCAGCACTAAGCAGAAAGGAACCCTTCTACAATCAAGTGTGCCACACATTGATTTTCTAACAACAAGAGTTTAACACCATCAGTAACTAATACCACATGCATATACATATGATATGATCTTGTACATATTTACCATACTTATGTTTATAAATACAGCTCATTGGTTTGCTATCATGTTAAAACACTTTCCAGTGCCACCCTCTCCAGCAACCATGCCACCATCCATGCCAACTTTGGCTCAAAAGGCAGAAATAGGTGCCAGGAGTTGCAATACCTTCATTGTGTTCTGCTCTGCTCTGGCATGATGCACATTATTCTTCATTTCACTTCTCCACATATTTTGAACTTTTGTGTTAAGGAGAGTAAAGTTGTTGGAATAGAGTATCTCACTATTAATGTTTTTCAAGAGTTGATCAAGAAATTAATGAAAAGCAGTTGTACTTAGCCACATACATTTTTTGAATCACATTTAAGCATGCTGATTATCACAATGTTGACCATACTTCTAACAGCACATATCTGAGGGAACATAAAAGAAAAAAAAAAAAAAAAAAGTCTCTTTTTATTCCAAAAATGCCTTGAAACTTACATTTCCAAGAAAGTTTCTTCATTTGAACATGAAGAGCCTTAGTTCAGTGCAGAATGCCAGAAGCAGGCCTCCAGATCAGTGCAGCTGCTTGAATGGCCAATGAGCTGCTGGGCTTCACCCTCCTCACTGAACAAAGCAATTGCTGATGGGGAAAAAACAATGATTAAACATGTAAGTTACTTCAAAAGGGGCAAGAAAGCTATCTTCTAGTTAGCTTTTTCTGCCAGTGATTCCAGGTCATTTACGAAGTCTTCCTTCATCTTACATGATCTACATTAAGAGCTGAACTGAAGAACCAGCCACATGAATTCCACTTGTCCCCACTCCTGGATGTGCCACCACCTCCAGTGACGCACTCACTGATGCATTAGTTGTTGTCTACATAGGCAATTTCTCACTCACAGAAGGCATTTGCACTGAAGAAGTCTCCCCAGGAGCTATGCCTGGAGATGCCTATGTCTCCACTCCTGTTACAGCTCAGTAAGGATAGACAGATGCATATCTATTTTACTGCCAATTACACAGCATTACTCAAGCCACATCCCTCCACCTTTCCCCCCAAACACACCAGCAGAGTTACCAAATATTTAATGTATGCAGGAATCCTGACATAAATGAGACATTAGAACATGCCTTAAATTCTTCTGCATTGCCAATTCAAGCAGATACTTTTGTGATTAAGCACAATGCGGTTATGCAGAGAGCAGAGATGGGCACCTTCACAGCATAGATCCACGTCTGCATCCCTTTGTTTGGATGCCTTGTAACTGCTTTCAGCTCTGTCTCCATTCTGACAGCTGTGCTGCAGCACATATACTACAGCCAGTGCACAGTTGTGAGACATTAATCCAAACACAGCTCCCCCTTCCCAGCCCCTTTGGGGAAAAGGCAGCACAGTCCATAAACCCTGTAGTAGAGGTGGGAAAAAGGCACACATTCACGTGGACTAAGTGACATGCTTTTGAAACGTGAACCAGGCCTCGGGAGCATCAGAGGGAAGTAGTTCAGCCCATCTATCCCATCAGCATCAGCAGGAAAACAAGCTGGCCACAAATCAAAGTCCTACAGGCGTTCAGACATTGCTTAAAATGCAAAAACAAGGCAGAAGAATTACACCTTGGTAAATAAAATAAACAAGCTCTTTTTGGCACGTAAAGCCATTTTCCCAGACAAGCAAAATCCCTGTGGTGACTTAGCAGTATCCCAAACCATTGGGACCCATAGCCCTGAGGATGCTGAAACAATGTCTTTCACAGAACTGAGTATGCTCAGTGCCATGGTTAAGTCACAGTCACAAGAGACCATAAGTGACCATAGGTAAGCCATGGCTACAGCACTCCTCACAGCCAGCCCTGTCTTACCCCAACTCTGCTACCTTTCAAGTAACACAGTTGGCATCATTAACAACGGCGATGAATCCCTTTATAGATGAAAAACATATTTCTTACGCTGCTCTTTCCACCTCAAGCCATAACAACTGCTTGAATAAAGACCTGATAAACTCAATGCATGCATTTTAACTCACATTTCAAGGTTAAAGAAAGTCACTCTAACATAGCCTACCTATGGATAAACTTACATTGCAATTCGCCCCTTGGGCTTTTAATTACTCTTTCCTTCAACATTTGTTTTAAAACCTTACATATCACATTCCTGTTCCTTCTGTAAACACACAGTGTCATGCCTCCAACACACCAACTGCTGCCATTTAGGGCAATAAATCACTTCTGCACAAGTTCGTGTTCTATTAGAAACAAAAATCAAGAAATAGCAAAGAATGAAAACTCAGCACTTCAATGCGCAATGTAGAAGTTTAAAAATTGTTTCAAGGTAAAAACAAACAAAAACACACAACAGCCAACCATGGAACACAGAAAATCCACAAAACTTCTTCAGTACAGACAGGGCTGATATACAAGTGAAGAATAAACAACATGTTAAGGTCACCCAAGCAAACACAAGCTTTTTTTAGAGCTTCTCATTCAATAATAATAAAACATAGTAGTTTGCTAAGAAATGAGAATTCAGTTTGTGTTTTCCCTCCAAAAGAAGAAAAATTAAACATCTACTTTTTTTTTTTTTTAAACAGAATGCATGCACCACTTTTTCTCTGCCATACGACACCTAGAGCAATGGCATTCCTACCACTTCACTGTGCCACTTGTCCAAGCAGCTGCTGCAACAGGTAAAATAACCACTATTAACATACAATCTACATCCAACATTTTAGTTCAGTGCCTTAATGCAGTTACAAAAAAAAAAAAAACCTATCTTCCCATCAGTGCTCTGGGGCAACTTCACCATGATGTACTTCAGGTTCACCAGGGAGACAGGAGCCACCCCAGGTAGCTACCACTTGGTGCCTCCTGAGAGCTGAGCAGGGCAGGTAGGCAGCAAGGTAGCTACAGCTTTGGCTGACCACTTCTAATCCCATTTTTGCAAGCTGTTTGGTCCCTGTAAGCTTTTATTAGTGGAGGTCACACCACTGGTCCAGACCTGAACTGTTATTTCAGTACAATGGTTAACCCCATTAATCTCACGTGGCCACTCCATGGCACCAACCTGCTTCAGCTGCACTGCTCTCACCTTGCAAAACTGAGAAGTTCTCCCCAGCTGGAGCTCCTGAGAGTAACTGTTTTGCTTTAAGTTTAAGCTTTTTATTGAACTTGAGATGATAACGTGGTACCTTCGAAGCAGCTACGACTCACAACTATCAAAACATCCGTTTCAAAAGCACAGGTAATTTTATCACCTGTTTCCATACAGTATGCCAATACTTTCTGCATCATATTATAGAAAGCTTCTCTAGAGGAGCCAAGTTTTTATGCATGTACTGATCTGCTTGAAAAAAGGACTCTTTCATGAAAAGCTTTTGAGAAAGGCAGAAATGCTGCTCATCCCCAAGCCTGCCACATTCAGACAACATCTTGGAAAACGTTGGGTTTTGTTTTCATTTTTATCATCCAGCTCTGCCTGTTTTACTAGCTTTATACTGCATCTCTCCAGACCTTCTTAAACTTTCTGCTGTGCCACGAAAGCATTTGAGTTATCTTACATTTCTGAGTTACAAACAGTAAATAAAAGTTACAGACACCTCTACTTTAGGAATTGCAAGGAAAATGCAAAGGAGTATAGCTTGAAATTCCTAGATTCAAACTTTTTTGAGAAAAAAAATCATATTTATTATCAAATTTAGCTACTTTTAGAATCTTTCAGGACAAATACAGGTCTTAAAACAAATAAGGTCTTAAAACAAAAAACTAAATGCATAGTTTTAAAACTATCCATGTGTATATACATACACACATACATGCAAAACATCATTAGGGGGCTTATAATGTATTCAGTATAAAGCATGCCTTCCTAATGCTCCATAGTGCAGTTTTATCTCAAGGTTAGCAACTAGTTCTGCGTGTGGAAGTTTGGCTTATTTTACTCCTGAGCCTTGCAGCTCATTTCATCATCCAGCCCCTTTGCGTAATTAAAATCAATCAATTTACATGCTGGCTACTGCCTCCACCTGAGCACTGGCAAGTATCCTCCTCAAGCCAGTGTTAGGGAGCATGAGCACCTTCATTTTGGAGTCACAAGTAATTGCATCACTACACACTATCCTTAGAGTATCTTTGTCTTTTTTAAAATCTAAGTTCAGCTTAATACTTTCTTCTCCAATTTCCACACCTCCTCCTGCAAAGAATCTTATCCCACCATGGTGTTTACCTACATCAAAAATATTTTCCTGTAAGCTCAAAGAACCCCAATGCTGTCAAAGCCCAGTTTCACTATGTCTCCTGAACTGATCCCACACCGTCCACTCCTGGTTTTACTGCTGGTGTGTTCCGTGTATTAGCAGTCTTATTTTAAACCTTGGCACGGGCATAACTTAAATAATCCATGGATTTAAAACATCCTTGGCACTTAGTGAGATGAACCTTAACAGCTTGCTGGGAGTGACAGGATTTATCAGGTCAAAAATTAAGGGGTTACAAGCCCAAATCTCAGATTTATAGCACAAGCTCATGTTTCTCAAATTAAGTCCTAATGTGAGCTGGAATACTGTCAACCAGCTTCACTGTTACTTTTTCCAGGCCCACACTTACACTTCCAGATTGTTCAGAAGCACACAGCAGAAGCAGAGGAGCAGGCCAAATCCCTCAAAGTGAATCTTTTGCTTGAGCTATCTGTCTTCAAACGGATCTACAGTGTAGCACAGTTTTAGCCACAAGAACTCAAAGAAGGAGAACCCAAGCTTTAAATTTAGGAAAATAACCATTTCTTTCAACACATTCACAAAAAACTTGAGTTAGGAAGAACTTTCTCTATACAAAAAAAAAAAAAAAAAGTTCACACAACACCACTGCATCTGTGGCTACCCACTGGCTGCCCAACCCAGAATAAAGACACTGGAAAAACCACAAGCCATACCTGTGTTTCACAGCCAAGATGTGGCAGTGCTGGTGACCCTCAACAAAGGCCAGGAAACAGCTAAAATGCAACTCCCACGTGAGGTACAAAAGCATCAGTGATACTTTGAGTTTCCCATCACTCCTAGTCTGCCTTGGCTCCACATCTCCTACAGTGCTCTGATGTCCCTAGGAGACTAACAGTTCTCCCACCTTAATCACCTTCCCCAAACTAAAAACACTCAGGTCAGGTTGGATGTGGTCCTGGGCAGAGTGATTTAGTGGCTGGCAACTATGCCCATGGCAGGGGTTGGAACTAGATGATCTTCAAGAACTACGCCATTCTGTGATCCTGTGGTTGCTTTCAATTCATTGCATATCCCTCCATCAGGCTTATATTTTGCTGCAAGGCTGTCAATACACTGCCAGGCTTCACTGACCCAACTCCCAGGACCACTTATGTGACTGCCTGATGATCTGCACCCAGTGTTATCACATTAGAGTATATCTCGTAGGTCTTCAAGAGAGACCTTTTAGCTTCTGAATGCCTGTATATCTACCCCAACCTGCTTCCTGTATATTGTTTTGGTATATAAAATATACTGATCATTAAGCTTAGTCTTTTTTTTTTTTTAAACATATCCCTGTGTCAAAGAGAAATATATAGGAGAATTCACCGAAAACGAAGCTAAGAAGAAACAAGAATTGGCAAAAAATGCAGTTAGATGAACACTTGATG